GTTTAGATGCGCTGGCTTACGACCCTAACAAGTTTGCTATGGACTACCACAACATTGGCTTCCGCGAGTGCGCGGCGGAGGTAGCGCGCTATCTTGTCACCATCGAGGGCATGGATATCCAGGACCCGCTACGTCTGCGCCTCATGAGTCACCTGCAGTGCTATGCAGCGCAGCGCGACCTGGCCAACAAGCAGGCCGCGTCCTCCTGGGGATGGGGTTCCCCACAGCCTGCGCCTGCGCCCCCTTCTACGTCCTACCCATCCGGGTCTTCCCTGGGGGGATTTCAAGGGCATGTTCTGCCTTCCCCTCACGGGGCAGCCCACCACCCATCCCCCGCACATCACGCCCCCAGCGTGGGGCTAGACCAGAGCCACGGTATGTCCGCCTTCAGCGCCCCCTCCTCCAGCGGGGAGGTGGGCACCTCTGGCTGCAGCCTCGGAGGAGGAGGGCAGGTGCCCCGGCTGCCCACCACAGGAGCGGGGGCACCTCAAGTGCCCTCCGTCACCATGAGCACTGCCTCCACGCCCCACGCCAACTACCATCTCAACCTCAACGCCCACACCTTCCCCGCCAACGCACCCACCAACCTACCCAACCTTAGCCTCTCCGGCAACACCGGAAGCCTCAACCCCGCAGCTTACAACCCCGGTGGGTTGCAACCTCCAGGCACGGGAGTCAAGCCTTATAGACCCTGGGGTGCTGAGATAGCTTATTGAAGCCCACAGCACGCCCACGCCTCACTGTAATATTTTATCTCTGCCAAAGCACTGTATATATAAGTCTCACGAGGTGTGTGTGTGTGTGTAGCGAGAGAGAGAGAGAGAGAGAGAGAGAGAGAGAGAAGGAGAGGAGAAAGAGAGAGAGAGAGAGAGAGAGAGAGAGAGAGAGAGAGAGAGAGAGAGAGAGAGAGAGAGAGAGAGAGAGAGAGAGAGAGAGAGAGAGAGATAGAGAGAGAGAGAGAATCGAGTGGAGCTTTGAGCTTACATATTGCTGTGATGTGAACTTTTAGGGACCAGGTATCATCGTTACTCTCACCATCAATAATACCTCCCACATTACTACCACTATCATCACTACCACCGGATCCACCACCACCATCATCATCATCGCCAATATAAAAACTACCAAAAAATACCTTTATAGTGAAAGTCATCATCGTCATTATCACCATCACCGCTACCACCATCACCACCCCTTACTCCTACCATCACCCCCACTCACCGCTACCCATCACCACCATCACTCCTACCACACCACACACTACCGCTACCAACGCTACCATCACCATCACTACCACCACCATTACCCCTACTATCACCACCATCACCACCACCACCATGAGTACCACCACCGTCATCACCACTACCACCACCACTACCACCACCACTACCACCACCACTACCACCATCACCACCACCATCATTTTCATTAGTCTTAGTGCAATAACGTCTTGTGTAAATACCGTGTAAATGACTAGTGTAAATACCGTGTAAATGTCTAGTGTAAATACCGTGTAAATGTCTAGTGTAAATACCGTGTAAATGTCTAGTGTAAATACCGTGTAAATGTCTAGTGTAAATGAACGAGTTTCATATTTTTTATCATTTGTAAAATAAATAAAACAAATAAAGTAATATAAAGCCACTCTGTGTACTTTATACCCAAGACGGTGTATGGCCCCAGCGGGTTTATCGCTTCCTCGGGAATACAAGAACCAGACGTATCCCTGACTCCTGCACCTTAGTGATCCAGGAAAGGTATCCCCGTATTGCATGACCCCAGCCCTCTCTACCTCAGCACACTCGGAAGGACGTGATGTCAGTGCCTCAGAAAATAGACAAGTTTATAAATTAGACGCTTGTGCAGAATTTGGAAATTTTTATCGAGGAAATATTTCACCAGTCAGTGAAAAGGAATAGTGCAGAGTGCGGCATCAGCTTCTAATGTGGTTAAATATGAACGGTGAGGATGTGAAGTTAAGCAGAAGAGGCTTTCGTAAGTCCCCCCTTAAAACTAATATCCAAATTTCTTCAATAGAAATATTAAAATTAGGACGATGCACATCACAGACTAATTTAAATCTCCCATTAAGAAACCCCAACTCACAAGCTTTCTCAGGAGGTTTTCTCTTGTTATCTCAGAATAATATCCTAATTTACACCTGTACATTAAGTTTAAAGCCGCTCAGAAGTTGCCTTATCAAGTTATCAGAGTTAAAGTGTCGAAGCCAATCAGATGAGACACAAAAATCGCATCAAAAGCACTGAAAACTCTCTATTTTCCCCCTTTGCTCCCTCGCCTTAAGTAATCAATTTTGTAAGGTGATCACCGGTTGTCCATGTTCACCCATCAGTAATAATGAGTACCTAGGTGTTAGTCGACTGGTGTGGGTCGCATCCTGGGACAAAACTGACCTAATTTGCCCGAAATACTCAGCATAACAAGCGGCTTTCTAGCAGTATGTCACTGATGTCAGCTAGGACTGTATACCTTGTACATGTACTTGTAGAAATAAAGATATTATTATTATTATTATTATTATTATTATTATTATTATTATTATTATTATTATTATTATTATTATTATTATTATTATTGAAGCTCTCCTTGTCCTGGTGCGAGGCGTCGACCAAGTTAGCAGCTACGATTTTCCTAACAGACTCAGTCACACTGTTAAGGTTTATGATAGAAACTTCTTTGAAGGAACGAGACTGACTTGTCGTAGCACAACTCTCGTAAAAGCCCCGAGTGTATTTTTGTATATTAAGGTCTTCAGTGTACCGACCTTAAAGGTTAGAAAAAAAAGACTGAGGGAATGGTAGGGACGATGACGGTGCAACGGAATTGAAGTAACGTCAAATGTCATTAAGGGAGCACAACACTACCTACCAGACACCGTTCAGTCACCATTACCTACCAGACACCGTTCAGTCACCATTACCTACCAGACACCGTTCAGTCACCATTACCTACCAGACACCGTTCAGTCACCATTACCTACCAGACACCGTTCAGTCACCATTACCTACCAGACACCGTTCAGTCACCATTACCTACCAGACACTGTTCAGTCACCATTACCTACCAGACACCGTTCAGTCACCATTACCTACCAGACACCGTTCAGTCACCATTAACTACCAGACACCGTTCAGTCACCATTACCTACCAGACACTGTTCAGTCACCATTACCTACCAGACACCGTTTAGTCACCATTACCTACCAGACACCGTTCAGTCACCATTACCTACCAGACACTGTTCAGTCACCATTACCTACCAGACACTGTTCAGTCACCATTACCTACCAGACACTGTTCAGTCACCACTACCTACCAGACACCGTTCAGTCACCATTACCTACCAGACACTGTTCAGTCACCATTACCTACCTGACACTGTTCAGTCACCATTACCTACCAGACACCGTTCAGTCACCATTACCTACCAGACACCGTTCAGTCACCATTACCTACCAGACACCGTTCAGTCACCATTACCTACCAGACACTGTTCAGTCACCATTACCTACCAGACACTGTTCAGTCACCATTACCTACCAGACACTGTTCAGTCACCATTACCTACCAGACACCGTTCAGTCACCATTACCTACCAGACACCGTTTCAGTCACCATTACCTACCAGACACTGTTCAGTCACCATTACCTACCTGACACTGTTCAGTCACCATTACCTACCAGACACCGTTCAGTCACCATTACCTACCAGACACCGTTCAGTCACCATTACCTACCAGACACCGTTCAGTCACCATTGCCTACCAGACACCGTTCAGTCACCATTACCTACCTGACACTGTTCAGTCACCATTACCTACCAGACACTGTTCAGTCACCATTACCTACCAGACTCTGTTCAGTCACCATTACCTACCTGACACTGTTCAGTCACCATTACCTACCTGACACCGTTCAGTCACCATTACCTACCAGACACCGTTCAGTCACCATTACCTACCAGACACCGTTCAGTCACCATTACCTACCAGACACTGTTCAGTCACCATTACCTACCTGACACTGTTCAGTCACCATTACGTACCAGACACTGTTCAGTCACCATTACCTACCAGACACTGTTCAGTCACCATTACCTACCTGACACTGTTCAGTCACCATTACCTACCAGACACTGTTCAGTCACCATTACCTACCTGACACTGTTCAGTCACCATTACCTACCTGACACTGTTCAGTCACCATTACCTACCTGACACTGTTCAGTCACCATTACCTACCAGACACTGTTCAGTCACCATTACCTACCAGACACTGTTCAGTCACCATTACCTACCAGACACTGTTCAGTCACCATTACCTACCAGACACTTCAGTCACCATTACCTACCTGACACTGCTCAGTCACCATTACCTACCAGACACTGTTCAGTCACCATTACCTACCAGACAAACCCTTCAGTCACCATTACCTACCAGACACTGTTCAGTCACCATTACCTACCAGACACTGTTCAGTCACCATTACCTACCAGACACTGTTCAGTCACCATTACCTACCTGACACTGCCAGTCACCATTACCTACCTGACACTGTTCAGTCACCATTACCTACCAGACACCGTTCAGTCACCATTACCTACCAGACACTGTTCAGTCACCATTACCTACCTGACACTGTTCAGTCACCATTACCTACCTGACACTGTTCAGTCACCATTACCTACCAGACACCGTTCAGTCACCATTACCTACCAGACACTGTTCAGTCACCATTACCTACCAGACACTGTTCAGTCACCATTACCACCAGACACTGTTCAGTCACCATTACCTACCAGACACTGTTCAGTCACCATTACCTACCAGACACTGTTCAGTCACCATTACCTACCAGACACTGTTCAGTCACCATTACCTACCAGACACTGTCCGTACACCATTATCTACCAGACACTGTTCAGTCACCATTACCTACCAGACACTGTTCAGTCACCATTACCTACCAGACACTGTTCAGTCACCATTACCTACCAGACACTGTTCAGTCACCATTACCTACCAGACACTGTTCAGTCACCATTACCTACCAGACACTGTTCAGTCACCATTACCTACCAGACACTGTTCAGTCACCATTACCTACCAGACACTGTTCAGTCACCATTACCTACCAGACACCGTTCAGTCACCATTACCTACCAGACACCGTTCAGTCACCATTACCTACCAGACACTGTTCAGTCACCATTACCTACCAGACACTGTTCAGTCACCATTACCTACCAGACACTGTTCAGTCACCATTACCTACCAGACACTGTTCAGTCACCATTACCTACCAGACACTGTTCAGTCACCATTACCTACCAGACACTGTTCAGTCACCATTACCTACCAGACACTGTTCAGTCACCATTACCTACCAGACACCGTTCAGTCACCATTACCTACCAGACACTGTTCAGTCACCATTACCTACCAGACACGTTCAGTCACCATTACCTACCAGACACTGTTCAGTCACCATTACCTACCAGACACTGTTCAGTCACCATTACCTACCAGACACTGTTCAGTCACCATTACCTACCAGACACTGTTCAGTCACCAACCAGACACTGTTCAGTCACCATTACCTACCAGACACCGTTCAGTCACCATTACCTACCAGACACTGTTCAGTCACCATTACCTACCAGACACTGTTCAGTCACCATTACCTACCAGACACTGTTCAGTCACCATTACCTACCAGACACTGTTCAGTCACCATTACCTACCAGAAAACCGTTCAGTCACCATTACCTACCAGACACTGTTCAGTCACCATTACCTACCAGACACTGTTTTAGTCACCA